TCGAGGGCCTTCAACGAGGAACTGCAGAACACAGGTCTATCCGCTGCGGACATGCAGACCCTCGCATCCAGCATCAACACCTACGAGCAGCAGTATATCGACACCTTCCAGATGACTCTCAACGACAGGCGCAACCTGCAGACGGTGTCGATCCTCGGTGGAAGGCTCGGGGAGGGCCTCCTAGCAGGGACGACGCTGGGGAGCAACGAGCACGCCGATGCCCTCCTCGACTACTGGCCAAGCCACTGGATCCACCCGACGGGTTACCATGTCACCACCGGCTGCCGGCACACGGAGACGGCATACAGGGCATTCGACACCTGGATGTCCGTCGATTACGACACTGCCACCGACGAGCGCTACCTTGTGCTCGACACGCGGAGACTGCAGAACGAGACGCTGCTTCGCAATTACTTTGGTGCCGCCTCCACCTGCAGCTCGGCATCCTACGGCATGCCCATGTGGGAGACCAACAACGTGAGGCTCCAAAGCCGATGGGCCAGCGGGCAGAGGATGGATCCCACACAGCCCATCAAGGCGGACACCGCCCCCTCTGGCACCTTTGTGCAGTCCACGGCTGCAACGAGCTGGAGCGATGTCCCAAGCAACGGCCGGCAGTCGGACCAATCCTTCCCATCGTCGGGCATGCTATACCGCTGGTGGCCAGGCATGCTCCCAGCGGTATCCTGGCCCCAGTCGAGCACCGACCTGCAGCGCTACCGCCTCCCCAATCACACGGCGGTGGGATGGAACGGGGACTGCGGCCAGACCGACTTCTTTACCTGCACCGCGGACGGGGACTGCGTCTCACTCTATGGGGAGGGTTTCAAGTGCCTGAGGGCATGGTCGGACGCGGAGGGGAAGGAGATGGACGGGGTGTGCGTAGTGCAGAATGCATTGGCAATGGAATGCTACCAGAACTATCACTGCGGTGCTTCCGGAAGGGTCTGCACCGGCATGGGAACCTGTGTGGATCCGCACGTCATGCTGCGGAACTACGCCCCGTGGCCCGTGGAGATGCATGTCAATTCGGAGGCATGCGGCACGGAGACCCTCGGTCATTCACCCTGGCAGAACTCGCAGGACTTCCTCTCCCGGCACGGGCTCTGCGGCTTCCGCTCCTGGTTCGAGTACGAGCAGCTGATCGCCCGCTCCGGGGTTGCGGGTGCTGCAACAGCGACACTGGCAAATATCCCCGATGACATCCAATGGCCCAGCACAGACCCATACCTCACCGACGCGCAGATACGGCTCGACATGTTCGACCGCGGGATCCTGAAGATGGAGCCTCACACCTGCGATATGGACTACCAGTTCCAGTTCCCATCCTGTGTCGGCAATCCATCCACCACCGTCGACGGCCTCGGGATCCCCTTGCCGGTGGAGGCACAGGGGGAGACTACCAGGACCTGGGTCTCGTCGGGTGACAACAAGTGGTCCCTGCAGCTCTGCAAGCTCGGCAGCCTGGAGAGGAAGAGGACGGGATTCCTGGCCCCTTACCAGGGGTACAACCGTGAGGACTCCTTTGGGAACATATCCCTCTCCCTCTCCATGTGCTCCGAACTGCAGATCTGCTTCTTGCAGGACTTCTATGTCATGGGATACAAGATGCAGGGCAGGCTGATCAACAGGCTCAACCTGCAGAACCTTGGCACGAGGAGGGATGCCTACACCCTGCAGGATGCACTGTATTGCGGCAGTGCCGGATATCTTGTGGATCTGTCAACCTCCTCCACAACCCTGACGGATGGGGTCCCATGCCGTATGGACCCATTGACCAACCCCATCGCGCGCATGCTATGCGAGGACTACGACGTCCTCAAGGCCTCCTGTCAGTTCAATCCTTCGTACATCAACGAGCAGGCAGTAGGCACCCTCTGCCGCTACTACAAATACAGCTATGCATTGGCAGACCGGAACAAGGTGGCAAGCGCGCTGAACGATATCCTGCTCCGTGGTTTCAAGCGAGGTTTCAACACCTGGGAGGAGTACCAGCAGCAAGCAGTGTGCATCGCGAATGTGTACAATACGATGTCGCTCTACGCGCAGTCCGAATCAACCAACGAGGCAACACAGTGGTATGCATACGAGTTCGAGCCCGGGGTGCCCACCTACTTCTACCCCTACATGACGCTGTACTTTTATGATGACGCCTCACAGATGGAGATCCCGATGAAATGGTGGGCGCAGTGCGTCATTCTAGACGGCGACGTGAACATCGACGGCATGATCGCCGGCAACATCGATCAAGTGCCCTGTGCGGGCTGGAAGAACTCACACACCGCGGGCTATCAACCATCGACGGTGAGGCAATTCCTGATGATGGCCAATGCGCTGTACTTGCAATCATCGAGGCGGGCGGTGGTGAACCAAGACCAGATTGCCCTCAGCATCTACGACACGCTGTACTCGAAGCTGCTCCAAGCGCAGGCCGACGTCACGGCAGCGATGGGCTATTCCTCGCACCCTGAGTACATCAACCTGACTTACGTGCAGCTGCGCAAGCTCCAGAGCCGTTACAACCACGATTGGGCGTACAACCAATACACCACCTCGAGCGATGTCATCTCCGACAGCACCAAGATCACCAACACGGACCCTGTCTATCAGGACGACGGCGGGCTCCCAGCCGACGACGGAATCCCAGCGCTGCTCACCCAGGTCCTGCACTTCATCCTCAGCGGTGACATCAACCTGGGATACGCCGCTGCCAACTCGGGGGTGAACCGCACGGCGAGGGCAAACCTGGCATTCCAGAGGGCGGATTTCGCGGCAGACTTCCTGTCTCGAGACAAGCAGTACTTCGATGCCACCAGCGGCATCCTGCAGTACAACTTCCCGAATATCTTCCGGCGATTCCTAGACTCGGAGCTCGACTCGATCCTGTCCTCCGTGCTGCGTGAAGATGAGCCGCTGGAGGATTTTACCTACGGAGACGTGCAATACAACGGTGCACTGTTTCGAAGGTATCAGAGCCTCATACGGGACAACACGCTGCAAACCACCGCATGCCTGTACAGCAACTTCCCCGGTTACGAGCCTGGGATCACCAAGAACCTGGATCAAGATCCCGAGGTTCGACTGTGTGACTCTGCGCAGAACTGCCGTTCCATCAATGTCTGCAATCCAACCCCATCCTACGACCAACGCACGGGGCAGTCCTGCGATTTGCTTCATGCTTCGCAGGATGACAGGTGCACCAACACGTACCTCAACGCCCCAGGGGTGAACGGTGGGAATAACATCTCCATGCAGACGCATTGCAAGCAGTTCCTCTTTGTGCGGGACATACAAAGCGCCGTCAACCCTTCGCTGGCCTCGGTGCAGTTCACAACCATTGATCTCGACGTCACCAACCCAGCTGGCGACATCTGCTTGCAACGTGGCACTTCCACATCGACTGGCCCCAGGTTGGACCGCACGGACCTGACAGGGAACCGGCAGGTGATTGGCGGGTATATGGATTCGACGACGTACTCGCGGGTGTACGTCAACGGCAGGCCGGGGGACGCGACGGTGATCTCACAGATGGTCTCCTCGGCGGACGGCTATATCGAGGTTGGGGGGCTGTTCGAGGGGTACATTCAGGAGATCCTCGTCTTTAACAAGAAGCTGAACAGCTCGCAGACGTCGTCTGTCAATCAGTACCTCTCGAAGAAGTGGTCCATCAGCCCGCGCGTGATGGACTCGGACTCGGACGGCACGATGGACTGGTGGGATGCGGAGAGCGGGGCGATCCCGTGCCATGCGTGCCCTCCCGGCCAGCGCCTCTCTTACGGCACCTGCGTGTCCTGCGTCGCTGGCAAGTATGGCCCTCACGGGGACTCCTGCGCGTGGTGTCCGATCTCTTCCAACATCGTCGGCGCCTCCTCGAAGGGCCAGTGCTCCTGCGGGCCTGGCTACTACCGCTACTCGGCGGACCGGTGCATGGAGTGCCCGGCGGGGTTCTACTGCCCGGCGATGTGCAGCGGGTGATTTTTAGGGTAGATTCGGGTGGTATTTGAGACTATATGTTTGATTGTTAATAAATTGTGAGAAATGTCGAGGTGGTGGCTGCTGCTGTTGCTTGCGAGATATGTCTCCCCTAGCATTATCGCATGGGACCAGACACATCAGTGCACGGCAAACACATACTTTTATTCCAATGATAACGGTGTGGAATATTCTGGGATCATGCCAAGATGGATGCGATGGTTGTTGGATGAAAACAACAATCGCATAACCAAATCCGCTTTTGGTGTGTATGGCAATGATCAGACCGTTGGCATGGCTGCGGTCTTTGATTCACAATCAGACGTATGTGCAGCGACAGGTGGAAATAGCGGTTGTTCCCGTGCCTGTTTATCGAATTATTATGGTGTAGTGCTGGATATGACTGTGTCGGCTCATGTTAATTTTGTTCGATTCTACAGCAATGCAGACTGTACCATTAGCAGTGCAGACAGCACAGGTTTTGAAGTGTATGTCAGTGACCAATACACTGCTGAATACGTTTCGGCATATTTATATGAAGCTGTAGCAAGTTATGCCCATTATTGTGGGCAAATTGGGGGGTATTCCAATGGATATTCAGATGTGAATTGTGATTGGACAGGGAGGTATGTTATGGTGATCAAACAGCGAACAAGCGACTATTCTGCCACTTGGTTTTCAGAGATCCACCCCTACGGATGCTGGGATTGTGCCGAGGGAAAGTATTCAGGAACGGGAGCCACTTTGTGTCTGTCCTGCAGTGCCGGTCAATACAGGAACAGGAGCGTATCGGTATGCACGGCCTGCCCTCCATTGAGCTACAACCCTGTCTCAGCAAGCTCCTGTCTGCACTGCCCGCCGGGCAAGTTCGCGAGCCCCACGGCCACTGGCCTGACAGCATGCACACAGTGCAACGCCGGGTATACCTCTGGGACGGCGGCATCGGTGTGCTCGGCATGCACGGCGGGCAAGTATAGCGCGTACGGGGACACGGTTTGCAGCACCTGCCCCGGTGGTAGCATCACCAACGCGGCCGCACAGGCAGCCTGTGTTGCTTGCCTCGTGGGAACCTATGCCACCTCGGGCAGCTCTGTATGCAGCGCCTGTGCCGCCGGGTACTACTCGGGTGCGAACCGGGCGTTTTGCACCGCCTGTGACATTGGGCAGACCTCCATCTCTCCGTTCTCGGCCTGCAGTGATTGTGTTCCGGGCAGCTTCAGCAGCAGCACGGCGAGCAGCATCTGCAGGGCTTGCAGCGTGGGGACGTTTACGAATGTGACGAGGATGTCGTACTGCATGCTTTGCACGGCAGGCAAGGCCACCTACCCCACCAACGGCTATACCTCTGCCGGGTCCTTGACGACGTGTGCGAACTGCGCGCTGGGCTACATATCCGTGACTGTGCAGTCGGGCTTCTGCACTGATTGTGGCATCACGGGATACACTGCAGTGGTGGGTTCTACCGCCTGCCTGTCGTGTGATGCTGGGACCTGGAGGGTGACGGGGCGCTCCTCTTGTGATTCCTTTTGCACCGCGGGCAACTACCTCTGCCCTCAGGGTGACAGCCAGCTGTGCTGCGCCTGCAATGCTGGCAAGTATGTTGCGTATCCCAAGGCCGACTCCGCCACCCATTGCCAGAACTGCACACCTGGAGGGTTCAGCGGGGCGGGTGCGTCGGTCTGCACAAAATGCAGCAAGGGGTATTACGAGGACAGGTTTGCATCCACTGCCTGCAAGGGCTGCGAGAATGGCAAGTACGCCGCCTTGACTGGGACGATCCAATGCAACGGCTGCCCATCGCAGGCATACACGAATTCACCGTCTTCCGCCTGCTGGCTGTGCAGCCCTGGAACCTACCAGCGCATGACAAACGCGAGCTTCTGCTGGGGCTGCCCGAGTGGATCCTACGCGACAGCCTACGGGCAGGCCTCGATCTCGTCCTGCTCTGCCTGCGGCCCTGGAAAGTATGCGAGCGGGACCGGGCAGAGTGTCTGCAGCGCCTGTCCCCTGGGCAAGTACTCGGATGTTTCAGGGTCCGTTCTGTGCATTCCCTGTCCGCAGGGCACCTTTGCGGGCAGCACTGGCCTGACGGTCTGCCAGAAGTGCTCGGCGGGTTCTTCCGGAATAATAAGCGCTACTTCGTGTCAGACGTGTCCCCTATACTCGTCAACTCTGCAAGATTCATCTACATCCCTGACCGATTGCAAATGTCCAGCAGGATACAGTGGACCAGATCATAGTCCTTGTACAGCCTGCGCAGTCGGAGAATATAAAATCTCAATGGGATCTGATGCTTGTCAATATTGTCCTTCCCACAGTACAACCTTGCAGGTAGCATCCAATTCTTTTGAGGATTGCAAATGTATGGCGGGGTACACTGGACCCGATGGTGGGCCTTGCACAGCCTGCCCAGTCGGAAAATATAAAAACCTAACAGGATCTGATGCTTGTCAATATTGTCCTTCCCACAGTACAACCTTGCAGGTAGCATCCAATTCTTCTGAGGATTGCACATGTGTGGCGGGGTACACTGGACCCGATGGTGGGCCTTGCACAGCCTGCCCAGTCGGAAAATATAAAACCCTAACAGGATCTGATGCTTGTCAAAGCTGTCCTACAGGCAGTACAAACTCAGGACAAGCATCTACTTCTCTTGCATCTTGTACATGTAACAGTGGATATTGCAGTAATCCATTAATTTTATCAAGTTCAGGACAATCCCGAAATGTATGCCCAACCACTGAATATTGCGCACCATGTACTAATCGGTATTATTATTTAGTTGTTGGGATTACCTATTATTATCTTGGTTATGCATGTGGACATGTGTCTTGTTATAAACTGTCTGGCAGTGCGTGCACGATCAATTGAACCGCTTCTACAACGATCACGAGTATATTTTCCCTCACCGTGTACGACTGCGTGAAGTTCTGTCCCGTCCTCTGCACGCGCTGCCCGGCCAACAGCACCACGCTGGCATTCGCAAGCACGAGCGTTGCGGATTGTCTGCATCTCGCAAACCTGGTTATTTAATGCAAAATCAGGGAATCGGGGAGAATGGCTAGCTACAGCATCGAGGACGAGCCGGAGAAGCTCTCGGACATCAAGCCGATCCAGTGCGTCTTCGTGTTCCGCAAGCCCATCTTCCCATCGGACCGCCTCATCAAGTTCTTCGCGGGGCAGTACGTTCACATGGAGCTGCTGATGTTCCTTCCGGAGACCCCGGCGGACAGCCCCACCTTCACGACCTTCATGGGGGAGAGGTTTGGCATGTCGATCTCGCTCAAGCGCTTCTACAACGACGACGAGTACGTGGGCCTCCTGATGGATCTCAACGCCGAGGACGCGGCACACCTCCTGGATTACATGACGGCGCTGACGGACGCGGCAGTGCCCTACAACTTCATCGACCTCACGCTGCAGCCCATCAAGCGCGTGCTCAAGACCTCACCGCTCTTCAACGACGTCGAGAGCAAGAACCCGAGGGACTTCAAGAAGGTCTTCTGCTCGCAGGCCTTCACTCTCGCGACCCGGGATGTGATCAAGGACGAGAGGTTCGACAGGCTGGTGCATGCCCTGCATCGGGAGAACAGCCGCCTTGTCACGCCGATGGACTTCTACCACATCATCAGGCCTTATTGCAGGACGGTGGACATGGATGAGCTCCGCAACCTGAAGCTCAAGCTCAGGTCATGACGGATCTCGACTTCTGCTGGCTCTCGACGTGGATGGAGAGCTTGACGTGGAGCACGGCCTGGCAGAAGATGTCGTACCAGCGGCGGATGACGTCGTCGCTCTCCTGGAAGATCCTGCAGAGCTGGTCCACCTCGTCGGTCTCCTGCTTGGCCACCCACGCCCTCACCTGGTTCTTGACGATGTGCTCGATCTTGCAGCAGAACCACAGGAAGAGGATGAAGGGGGTGAATTTCTGATGAACGATGATGCAGGAGACCTCCTTCCCCTTCCTCCCGACCTCCACACACGAGTCCGACCTGGTTCCAGAGATGCTGCAGATGTGCCAGCCGTTCCGCCTCCTGAGAGGTGGCGTGGAGCTGCTCATGATCTCAACGCACATGCGGTAGATCTTGTCCTTGCCCTGCGTCTGCAGGTTGTCTACCAGTGTGTAAACCGACTTGATCTCCGTGGTTACGTGCACGATGCTGTTGTGCACCTTGATCGCCCACTTCTCCGCGTTATCCTTGCACTGCGAGAAGTACCGCTTGTACTGGTTGTCGTCACCGATGACCTCGAAGGCCTTGTTGCAGCAGTAATCCTTGAACTGGTCGTACGTGCAGCTGCAGGAACACCTCTTGACGACGTCCTTGTCAACATCCTCGTGATCGCACGTTGCATGCGCGATCGTGCACAGATCTGAGATGAAATCCGCGCTCATTTACACTGTAGCGGAACAGTGCCGGTGCGGGGGTTTGCAACGGCGAGCTTGGGGTTGTTTTTTTTTTGGGCAACGAACAGGTATAAAAACCACTCCCTCCCCGGGGTCCCAATCACCGATGTCCACCCACGGAACCCAGACCCCTGCTCAGGTTGGCTACACCACCCCTCCATCCTCTCCCCGCACGCAGCCGGTGTGCCCCAACGCGCCGCAGCGCCCAGTGAGGTACATGCTCCCCAACTTGGTTGGAGCCATGCATCAGACCGCGGCGCAGCACAACCAGCAGGCGTAGTGGTAGGAAGGTATGACCTGTACTTGGCATGAGTAAAAAAAGACTCGAAGAGAACCATTCGCAGCTTTGCATCCCCCCTTGCCAAGCCCCATGTCGTGTGAGCCTGCCACCGCACCCCTCCCCGTCTCGCTCCTGCATGTGCAGAGAGTGGTAGACCCGGAGAATTACGGCACGCTGGAGATGCTGATGAAGCAGATCCATCACCTCCTCTCGCAGCGCAGGGACAACACCGATGATTTCGCACAGCGCGTCGCCTTCTACGGGTTCGGGGATGATGCGTTCCGTGTGTCCTTTTACCGGTTGCTGCAGACCTGCTTCTTCCCCGAGTGGCACTGGTCGTCGGAGACGGGGCAGGACCGATGGGAGATGCTCGTGAGCTTCAAGGGTAAGATGCAGATCCCCGTGAGCATGGTGGAGCGCCTCTGTGCGCTCTGCCGGAATGACATCACCTGCGATGCCTTTGAGAAGGGGGTGACGGACTCCCTCGTCACCTTTGTGCAGCGCATAGACAGGGGCAAGCGGCAGATAGGGTGGATGCGGAACCGCCTCAGGGTGGCCTGCATGAAGCACTACGAGAAGATGCTGCAGCGCGAGCAGATGGAGAGGGTGCAGCAGGAGACGGGCATGCAGTTCACAAGCGGTAACATGCTTCATTGCTTCCACGAGTGGAGAAACAGCATGATCGAGATACGCAACCACCAGGAGGCCATCCGAAACCTGCTCCTGAGGCAGGATGCGGCGAGGGACAGCTTCCACGAGCTCCTCATCGCCGTGGAGAACCAGAATCGGATCTTGAGGGGCCAGTTGCATCTCCTCACCGCCATACGGGAGAGGAATCAGGGTGCGTTGGAGAATGACCTCGAGGAGAGCTATCTGAACATCGTGCAGGATGCCACCAGCGTCATGCAATATGTCACCACCCGGCAGAATTACAACTTTGACATCCCAATCGCCATGCAGCCCAAGGCCCTGCCACCCATCATGGAGGTGGAGATGAGCGACATCCCGCCGGAAGAGGTCATTGTCGTCACCTAGCCTCCGCGTGGTATCTGCAGCATGCGCTTGAATGCGGCGTAGGTGCTCGGGGAGACGTTGGAGAGGGCCTGCAGGAACGGCTCCTGCGGGTGTATCGGGAGGGTGTCCTGGTATGTATCGAAGAAGAGCATCGCGTGACCTGTCCAACCTTCACCCGAGAACCAGTGGTTTATGCTGCCCAGCAGGATCTCAAAGAGGTTGCAAAGCGACAGCTCGAAAAGGCCCTGCAGCTGCGCCCTATCTATCGAATACACCTCGTAATCCACAAGGGTGAGTTCCTTCTGCCCGTAGACCAGGTTGTTCTCCCCGACTGCCCCTATGACCTTCCCCTCCCTCTGCAGGTGTATCACACTGTGCAACAGGCTCATGCTGCAGCTGACAAAGTGTGGAACCCCGTAAGGGCACGAGTCAAAGGCGGACAGAGGAGAGGTAGGGTAATGATCCATACCGTTGTTTATTCGAAAACAAGGCTTTGGAATTAAATAAAACGCCTAGCGCATGCAGAGATCACACTTCTTGTTGTCAACACAGAGGATGCAGACGTTGCCATTGTTCGCCATGAGGTACTCTGCGGTGTGCAAAAAGGTCAGGTGCCTGAACAAGAAGGCGCTGATGCGGTCGCAGTCAAATGCCGCTCCTTGCACGCGGCTGGCAATCTGCTTGCTGAAGGTCTCCTTGGATCTTTCCAAGACCTCAAGCGACCAGGACCTGTGAGAGCGGGCGTTGTTGAACTGCTGCTTGTTGGGGAGGTAGTTCACAAAGGGGAAGCCGTGCGTCCAGGAGAGATACGTGACGATCGCAATCTTGATCGAGAGCGGGTAGGCATCGCTTGCGGCGATGCGCATCAGCTCCTTGGTCACTCCGTCGCCGTGGCACTTGCAGCGGCCGAGATGCTGCCAGAACCCAACCTCGCTCTCGCCCCTCAGGAACGCGCGCTGCAGATCACAGACCATCGGGAAGTAGACCTCCTGGTCCATGTACAGATACCGATTGTAGCGCTCCTCGACAACCTTGTAGCCGAGATCGAAGAGGTAGTCGGCAAACGCCTTGGCGTAGACCCTCTGCACCCCGTTCTTGCATCGGGAGCTCAGCATCGTGAAAAAGTACTGCACGATGAACTTGCGGTAGTTCAGCCTGTCGTTCTGCAGGATGTCCCAGTACCGCAACCAGACAGAGGGCGGGTAGTTGCTCACCCCGACGTCGCTGAAGTGATGCGTGCGGCTGTCGTGATGCAGAAAGGCGATGATGCTGAAGGCCTGAACGATGTTGATGATGTTCTTGCTCGTCGTGGGGTTGCCCAGGAGCTGCTGTAGCTTCGACACGCGCTGCTCGTAATCCGCACGCAGGTGCTGATATATCGAGACAACAAAGTGGTCGAAGTGGAACTGCGAGACCCTGAACGAGGAGGAGTGGTGCGAGATCCGCAGCTCGTCCTGTGCGATGTTGCCACTGAGCAGGTCTTCATCCTGCTTCATCGCCCGCTGGATGATGTCCCCGTCTTGCAGCAGGCCCTCGGTGAGAAGGTTCTGCGTTGCAGAGAGCAGGGCGGGCTGCAGCAGCTCCAGCACAAACGTCCTCTCGTCGGTGAACGGGAGACGGTCGGCATTGCTCAAAAGGGGTACTCCAGGCATGGACATGGCGTAGGTGGGGAGGGGAGGCCCGGGGAGGAGCTCTTATAGACATTCTTCTTTACTACAGGGGAATTTTTACTCAACTTCTTAGCTTCCAAAATGCACTCTGCCAGATATCCGTGTATTTAAGCATGGTAAAGCTCGATGAAGCATCAATGCTTCAGTTGACCTCTTTTGAACCCGAACAATGGGGCGGATCCTTCACAGAACGCAGGAAGGAATACAAACTGGCAGGCAAGAGACTTGCCAGTGAGTACATTGCCAAGGGTGTATCTGCAACAGTCTTATGCCAAGATATTGGTCACTGCAGGAGTTTCATCAGTACCAACACCGTAGTAAGGAACAGTCAACAGGAGCTCATCTACAAGAAGGTCGGTAATGTCGATATGACTAAGTTTGAAAAACTCTGTTTCCAGATTGCATTACACACTTCAGCTCTCAAGATTTTGAAGGCTCATATGCTCACTTTGAGGAAGAAAAAAGTATGTTGAGGACAGTTCTAATTGGATTCGTCTAGTTGATAAACATCACCAACCCGGTTCCATCCAAAACGCCCTCTGCCTGCTCGGCACCGCGACATACACGTAGCTAAACACCTGCCCATTGCTCTCGATCCAATCCCGGAAGGCTGACGGCCAGGGGTAAGCGGTGGAGACGAGGAAGTAGCTCGTTGTCTGCACGTCCCTTCCTGCGCACAGCGTAGATCCGACCTGTGCCGGCATCAGGAGGTTCTTCACGCCCCACGCGCTGGCCTGAGCCTCGCACAGCGCCTCGTCGTCGGGGAGATGGAGTATGTCCAGCATCCCGACCGTGGATGTCCTCGTGATGCAATTCTGAGGGAAGTCCCCGAAGCAGATCTGCTGGAAGGCGTCGGTGAAGACCCAATGGCTGTTGTCCTGTGTCTGGAACACCCTCCCCTGCACCACCAGGTTGTCCAACAGGTCCTTGACCAGAGACCCCACCGCGTGTATCATCACGATCTCGATCTCTGTGATCCCCGGGTGATGCAGCGCCAGCACAAGCGATGCCTGCTGATCGGAGGCGGACCAGAGCTCCATCCCCTCGCTGTAGTCTCGCCACGTGCCGTTGAGCCCCTCCCTCACGCTGGCCGAGAGGTTGCGCTTGTCGAAGGCTTGCAGGGTGTCGTGGCATGCCCCGGTGAATCCCTCCCTCCCCGCCGTCACAACGCCCGTGTAGGTGTACCTCCGGCTCTCATCGGAGAGCAGCATGGAGAGCCTGATCGCGTCGAAGCCCACAGAGGGCGTCTCGAGGAAGATCCAGGCATAGCTCCCTGCCAGCCATTGGAACAGCGCCTCGCAGTGAGCGCCCACAGACCACTTGTCGAGGATCACGGAATCCTGCAGCCAGGGAGAGCCCAGCCAGCAGGTGGGGATGGCTGCGAGAGAGGGGCAGACAGGGAGGTACCCAGTGACGTTGCTGGCCTGCAGCGAGAGCAGGAATGTCAGTGCCTGCCCGCGGAGAAGCATGGTCGTTGGTCCGTGGAAGAACAGCTTCAGCGCCCTCACAGGGGTGCCGGGGAAGGAGAAGACGTCCATGGAGAGGTAATCGATGCTGTCGCTCGTCCATTTCTGCATCACGCTGACGGTGGCGGAGACGGATCGGCTGTAGGAGAAGCGGTGGAAGACTGTCTCGAAGCGTATGTCCGAGACCTGATCCTGCTTGAGGAACGTCACGGCAATGTAAAACGAACAGTTGAGCGTTGTCTGCCCCCATGCCGTGCAGTTTGGCATATCACCGAGGGCCTGCAGGTCCAGTGTGAAATTCATATACTCTGCAGGATCACCCGAGAGCTGCATGAAGCTGTAACTGTCGTAGTAGAACGGGAGGGCGGCCTCGAAGAGGTTCTTGGTCCATTCATCACAATTGCAGATCTGGCAATCGGGGATGCGATACAGCACGTAATCGGAGGTCCGGCAAGAGCAGTTGATCGAACCGCAGGTGGAATTGACCTGAAGCAGGCTGGAGGGCAGCAGCGACGGATTCCATCTCAGGCCACGGATGTACTCCATGCAGCACACGTCACACTGAAAGGGGGAGCGGATGGCGTATAACACCGGGAAGCTCCCCACCTCGTCGTGCTGCACGAGGATCTGCCCCGAGACCCTCTCGTGGAGATGATCGACGGAAACCTTCCGGAAGCTGACGTCGTCAATCCCAGGCAGCACCACCCCGGCCGCGGGCTCGCAGGAATCAAAGGCGGTGTCGAGGATGTATCCCGCATCGCAGTTGATCTCACACCCGTAGTTGGAAACGCGGTAGGTCTTGGCGATGCTGTCGCTCGCGCTGCAGTTCAGACATGGAGAATCAGAGAGCCCCTTCTTGAACGATAGCACCGGACAGAGCCTGCAAACCTTGGTGAGAGCAACGGCATCCTTGGCTATGAGCCCGTACGAGTCGATGCACTGGCACCGATCCCAGGTGTCCGCCGCGCTGGAGTTTGTGCTGGTGTAAAGCCCGACGGTGACACAGCTCAAACACCCGACGCTTGCCTCCGAGGGCTGGAAGTAACCCACCGGGCAGGGAGAGCAAGGGCTGTTGGAGAGGTAGGGCTTGCTGTAACCCGGGGGGCAGGCGGCACACTCCACTGCCCTGACATACCCGTATCCAGCCTTGCAGATACAGTTGGAAATGTCCGTGCTTGCAAACGGCGAGTTGGATCCTGATGGGCAGGGCCTGCAATCGCCGATAGATGCCGCCCCGAGGGAGGGCTGGTACGTGCCGGCATCGCAGGCGATGCATGCAAAGTTGTTGATCCCTGGCTTGTAATACCCGGGGAGGCAGGCGGAGCATGTGGCGCCGTTTGGCTCGTGTCCGGCAAGGCACTGGCATGCGGAGATCGACTGCGAGCCCGTCACCAGGGTTGTCTTCCCCGGCGGGCACTCGTAACACCCGGAGAGGATCATCGTGAGATCCGAGGAGAACTTCCCAATAGGACAGCTGGCACAGGAGGACTGCCCAGGGTTGATCGAGAAAGTCCCCGTTGTGCAGGTCTTGCAGTATAGCGATGCTAGCTCACCGGCATACTCACCGGCCTTGCAGGCCTCGCAGGGGGTGTTGAAAGAATCCGCCTTGGAAGTCCCCAGCTTGCACGGCTCGCACACGAGAGAGTCGTTCCCTGTGATGACAGCCCCGTACCCCGCAAGGCACTGGCAGTCGAGGATCGACGGGTTGGCCAGGGTGTATGCCGTCGAGTGGTTCGGGCAGGAGAGGCAAGATGCAGAGCTGTTCGCCGCATACGTCGGCTGGTAGGTTACATAGTCGCAGGGTATGCAGAAGAAACCCCCCGTGGCATCCTGGTAATACCCGGGCTCGCATGCCTGGCACGAGCTCATGTTTGTCTCCGGCGCGTAATATCCCGCTGCACACGGAGCGCAAGACAGCATGTCGCCATGCCTGTAACTTCCCTGTAGGCATGCCCTGCACACCCACACACCGCCGACGAATGCGACCTCGAACCCATCAGGGCACCTGCACTGCATCACGTCGCTGGACCTGGCATTGCTCACCGCGCCCTCTGGGCAGTTCAGGCAAACCACCTTCAGGGGATCCGAGTAGGTGTTGTTCGGGCACACATCGCAATGGTACCCGGTGGTGTTGAGGAAAGTCCCATGGTCACACTGCAGACAGCTTGTCGAGCCCTCATAGGAGTAGTATCCCGAGGCACACCTCAGGCAGGTGGTCTGGGATGCATCCGAGTAGGTCTGCCTAGGGCAGGTGACACAGAACCCGAAGCCATCGCCAGAGACAGACCCGGGGCTGCAACGCGTGCAGTTTGTCGCCCCGGGATGTGAGTAGAAGCCACCCTTGCACATTCCGCAGGTGGAGAGGCCGTAGCCCCAACCGTAGTATCCTGCCGAGCAGTTCTCACAAGACAAGATGCTGTCCGATCCGTTGGCAACCGAAAAGGTCCCCGGGGGGCAGAGATCGCAAAAGGTCTGCCCGAGCAAGGGTTGGTACCTCCCGTAACCGCAGCCAAGGCAGGCAGACGCCCTTTCGATCGTGTTGTAGTACCCCGCCCCGCAGGGAAGGCAGTGATAGAAGTAAGACTCTGCAAAGAACCCTGGGAGGCAGTCTCTGCAGAACGTGGATCCAGCGGGGGAGGCAGAGCCCGGGAGGCAAACCCCGCAGACAGACGCGTTGTGGTAGGGGTTGAACTCACCGTCCGAACAATTCTGGCATGCCGAGGCGGTCCCAGCACCCGTCTGGTCTGAGAACTTACCCGGGTCGCACGCGATGCAGGATGTCCCGGCGAGGGAATCTTGGTATCTCCCCGTCCCGCAGGTGAGGCAAGATGTCTTGGCAGGTTCCGGTTGGTATCTCCCTGCCTCGCAGTCGTCGCACACCCCCGATCCTGGCAGGGAGACGGTCCCCGGAGCGCAGGGGACACACTCCGCCGAGCCCACAGTCGATGCGTAGCCCCCAGGGCACTGCTGGCAGACGGATGAGCCGGCAAAGGGGGAGTGGTACCCAGCGCTGCAATTCCTGCAGGTCACGCTGCTGTTGGCGCCGATGGCAGCCGAGTAGCTCCCCGCACGGCAGGCGCTGCAGAACGTCTGGTTCGAGAGCTGCTGGTAGCTCCCTACGGCGCAGTCGTAGCACGCCGTCGAGCGGTTGCTGGAGAACTTCCCAGGCTGGCAGGCAATGCAGTTCAACCTGGAATCGTCCCCGATCGACCCAGCGGGGCAGAGCTCACACCCGCTCGTGCGGGCAACGTACCCGGGAAGGCAGAAGACACAGGTGCCAGCGACGTCGGCGTACGCCAGCAGGCAGCTGCAGTTGGCACTGGAGATCGAGCCAGCCGGTGCAAAGGAGAAGTTCCTGCATGCCCTGCAATCGGACAGTTGCTGCGATGCGTGATCCGGGTTGTAGGTGCTGTTCGGGCAAATCACACAGGCCCGGTTCGAGACCTCTGACTTGTACGTACCGGGGAAGCAACCCTTGCACTCATCCCACACGGGCACGTAAGCAAAACCCTTGACACACTCACAGCCCATGCGATTCCCGGTGCCCGCGGGCGAGATGCTGTTGGATCGGCAATCCAGGCATGTTGCAGAGGCATTGGCAGCCACGGCCTCGCTGTAGGTGTTGTTGGGGCAGAGGCTGCAGTAGTCCGCGCCGTAGGTGGCCTTGTATGTGCCAATGGGGCATGCGCTGCAAGCACCGGATCCCCCCGTGTAGCCCGGCACACAGACGCAGCTCGAGACGTACGCGAGGGAGGGCTGGAAGCTCGTGCTGTGCTCCGGGCAGTCGGTACAGACCGTCGGGGAAGGAGACGCGAGCACGGTGGAATAGGTACCGTCGCTGCAGAAGGTGCAGGGAAAGTCTCCCTCGGGGATTTTATAAGTGCCCACGGGGCAGGGCTGGCATGCCGTGCCGTTCCGACCATGGAATCCCTGCATGCAATGACAATCGTACTGGCTACCGGATCCATCCTTACTTGTGCTGTTCTGTGGGCATGCCTGGCATACCTTGCTATCACTGGCGAGTGGAACCGGAGAGAAGGTCGCAACAGGGCACAGGTCACAGCGGGTGAGATTATACCCTATGGAGAAGGAACCTGGTACACACCCGATGCACTCGAAGGGATACCCAGCGCCCCCGACATGGAACCCAGGTGTGCAGCTGCAATTCCCGATGCTGATTGAACGATTCCCTGACACGGCGTGCAGTGGGCATGAGGAGCAATTCAGGACGGATACACTGCCGTAACCCGAGAGATAGGTGTTGGCGGGGCATTCGAGGCAAGGTCCGGTTAGGCCATCCTTGTAGGTTCCAGGCCAGCATTGCTTGCAAGTAAACGCACCGCCGCTATACACCCTCTCGTATCCCTGGATGCAAAGGCAATCCTCCAAGGCCACCGAACCGCCGGGAGAGACAGAGTTTGCAGGGCAAGAGCTGCAGGCGGTGCTCCCAACAGCGCTTCCGAAGGTGTTGCTCGGGCAAGACAGGCAGCTGACATTGCCTAGCGATGGCTTGTACCTGCCCAGGGCGCAGGAGGAGCATCCGAAGGTTGATGCCCCGTAGAAAGGTTCAAATCCAGCGTTGCACTCGCACACTGCCTGCGAGAGGCTCAGCCTGGTGCTGTTTGCCGTGCAAGAGATGCAATTCGATGAAGAGCTGGAGGCGACAATGAGAGAGTACTGGTTGTTTCCGCACGGCTGGCAGTACGTCCTGTTGTAAGAAGAGGTGTAATACCCTGCCGGGCATGCGACGCAGGCATCCCCCACCCTGTAATAACCAGGGATGCACAGGCAGCCACCGATCGAGCCCGTGCCGTTGGCGGATTGCGAGAATTCCGGGCATTGCAGGCAGGATTCGACAGAGACCTGTGCATACCTGGGCTGGTAGGTGTTGGCCGGGCATCTGCTGCACTGCAACATGCTCCTCGTCGGTTTGTAGGTGCCGGGGATGCAGGCAGAGCAGTTCTCACTCCGGGGTCCGCTGTATCCAACCTCACAGATGCAGTTGATCAGGCTGGAGGAGAGGTTGTAGGCGAAGGTGTGATCTGGGCACCTCACCGCAGGGTCCAGAGAGCCCGCACAGTAGTAATTCTCCGGGCACGGGTAGCATTCACCGTTGGGGAGGAGATACGTCCCAGGCTTGCAGGCACACTCGCTCACCTTCGAGATGCCCATCTTCGAGTAGGTGCCATTGGGGCAGGGCTGCTTCTCCGTGTATCCGCCACCGCAGAAGAAGTCGTACGGGCACTCGTAGCAGAACACGGAGTCGTTGACAAAGTAATTCCCCGGCTTGCACATGCATCCGTACTTGGATCCCTGCCCTGCAACGCTGAAAGATCCCGTTGGGCAATCGTACATCTGCTGATTGTTGCAGTAGTGATCAGGAGGGCATATCTCGCAGACCTTGGGGAAGAAGCTCGTGGCGTAGTACCCCGCGAAGCAGTCGCAGAAATAATCCGTCATGGCATTCGTCGGGGAGGACGAGTGAGGAGGGCAGACATAGACGCTGCCGTTGTAACAGTACGAGCCGGCAACGCAATCGACACATATCGCACATTCACAGTACGTTCCCGGGCCACGGAAGCCCTCATTGCACGCGCACTCGTAGCTCCCAATCGTGTTGGTGCAGGTTGCGTCTATGCTGCAGTTGTTCACAGCAAGGCACTCGTTCAGGTCAACACAGAGGTTGGAAGAAGAGAGCCTGTAACCCACCGGGCAGGTGCAGGTGAAGCTCCCCTGCGTGTCCGTGCAGGTCGCCATCGGATCGCAGGGCGCCGGATCCAGCAGGCACTCGTCGATGTTCAGGCACAGGCCAGAGGGCTCTGTGCTGAAGCCCGGGTTGCAGACACAGTAGAAGCTCCCGATCGTGTCGAAGCATGCGCTGTTGTTCTGGCAGACGGAGGATGCGTTCAGGCATTCGTCAATATTCACACAGCTCGACACCGACGGCCCCACTGTGTAACCAGCATCGCAATCGCACTGGAAGGAGCCGAGGGTGTTGCGGCAGGTGGTCGTGGCGAGATCGCAGCTGTCGCTGCCCAGCGAGCACTCATCGATATCAACACAGGCGCTGCCGGATAGCTGCCAGCCCACCCTGCAGGTGCAGGTGTAGGAGCCTTCCGTGTTCTGGCAGTCGGCATTCAGCATGCAGGCAGACGAGTATGCCGTGCACTCGTTCACATCCAGGCAGCTGCTGCCCGAGAGCTGATACCCGGCATTGCAGCTGCACTGGCTGAAGGAAACGGACCCCTCCGCGGCCGTGCTGCCATGAATCGGGCAGGGAGAACAGGCGGTGTTGGATACAGAATCCTTGTAGGTTCCGATATCACAGGCCAGGCAGAGGAACAGTCTTGAATCATTCCGGTAGCCCTTGATGCATTCACAGCTGTCTGACACAGGGCTTGCAGATGGAGAGATGGCATTGCCCGGGCACTGCTGGCATTGCAGCACAGAGGTGGATGCCGTGGATGGCAAGAATGTGTTCTCCGGGCATTCACTGCAGGGCTCCATCAGCAATGTGCTCTTGAACTTGCCCGCGGGGCACTGCTGGCAGTAATCGCCACCGGGCTGAAAGCCTGGCAGACATACACAGCTGCTCTTCACAGTGGATCCTGCGCTGCTGTTCGAGTTCAGAGGGCAGGAGCTACAGGAGGATAACGCCGTTGCCGCCAACGCCGGCTGGTAGGTGTTTTCCGGGCACTGCTGGCATGCCCCCGATCCCGTGCCAGACTTGTAGCTCCCTGCAGGGCACGCATTGCAGGCCGCCCCGTCCACTCCAGAGTATCCCGCTTTGCATACACAGAGAGAGATATCGTCCCGCGAGCCCGTAGAGACGGTATTTGCAGGGCACAGCAAACAGCCGCCATTGCCGGTGAAGTCCTTGTAGGCAGATGCATTGCAGGCCGTGCAGGCACCCGAGCGCAGTTCAAACCCTGGCTTGCAGAGGCAGCTGCCTGATGAGACCTCCGCCTCACCATTCTCGCTGTTGGCGATGCAAGGAGAGCAGGCAGCGCTTCCCGTGGTGTCCTTATACTTGCCGCTGATGCAGGCATTGCACGACCAACCCCCGCTGCCAGTGTATCCCTTGTCGCACACACAGGCGGACAGCGAGGAAGAGGCGGTGGCCAGCGTAACCGTGTGAGGAGGACAGGTCGTGCAGGATCCGTAGGCATGCACCTCGCACAACGAGAGGCTGTCAGCCGCCGCTACGGCCTGGATGGTCAGGATCGACCCCGTTGCGCTGCAGGGCACGGAGGATGTTCCCGACAGCGTATTGTAGCTGCTGCAGATGGCGTTGGTGGCGATGATCGTCGAATTCCCCACTGTGACCTCCACGTTGGCGGTGTTGGCACCCGATGTGATCACCAACTCGGAGATGAGGAAAGGGCCTGGCAGGGTGGCGGTGAAGGTTGGATCCAGCTCGACCGAGGTCGTCGCACACGTCGCCGCGGAACCGTCGATGGCCCTGCCCGCGTTGGAGGGGTTGCTTGACATGGTGACTGTTGTTCCTGGAAGCTGCAATAGATCTGTCGTATCCCTGATTCCGACTGCTGTCTTGTAAGATCCCGCAGAGCAGGCCAGGCAAGCCGTAGTCCCGTAGTATCCCGCATTGCACAGGCACTGAGAGGAGAGCGTAGATGCGGTCTGAAGCGTGATTCCGGGCATAGGGCACGACTTGCAGACCCCCGCCTCCTCGTAATACCCAATGCCACAGGCTGTACAGGGGCCACCGGCGCTCCCGACATATCCGCGATTGCAAGTGCAATCCGTGATCTGTGTGCTGTTGGCGGGCGAATCGGCGTTGGTGGCACAGGCAGTGCAAACGGTAGAGCCTTGTGTCGACGAGAACTTGCCCGCTTGGCAGCTAGTGCAAGGCCCCCCGGCAGGGCCGTAAGATCCAGGGTTGCAGCTGCAGGCCGTGCGTGCGGTGGATAGCGCGGAGGAATTGGAAAAGGCAGGACAGTCGAGGCAGGGAGAGTCTCCCGCCAGTGCCTTGTACTTGCCAGCAGCGCATCCAACACACTCCACCCCGTTGGAACCGTAGTAACCAGGCAGGCAGACACAGTCGGTGAGGCGGGTAGAGTGAAGCGCCGACTGCGTGTTGGGCGGGCACGGCTTGCAGGCCACGCGCCCGTCGTCGTTGTAGTAGCCAGAGTTGCATGCCTGGCATCCCGACGGGTATCCCCCCTCGTATCCCGAGTTGCAAACACACTGCGAGCCATCCACCGACCCTGAGGGGCTGGCGGAATTACCAGGGCACTGGGTGCAGGCAAAGTCACCGATCCCACTCTTGAAGGTATTCGAGCTGCACTGCATGCAGATGCCAAGCATGGATGTATACCCTGGATTGCAGACACAGTCGGACGATGACGTGCTTCCCAGCGCACTGGTCTCTGTTCCTAGGCAGTCATAGCACTGCCCCGGACCCTCGTAGTCCTTGTACTTCCCCTCAGGGCAGGCCGTGCAATAACCCCCGACGCTGCCGTAGTAGCCCTTCAGGCATCGGCATGCGGCATAGGACTGCGAGTCTCTCGACGATGTCATGTTCTGGGGGCATTCGAGACAGAAGGCATTGGTGGGATTCAGGTAGAAACCCTCCCTGCACCCCTGGCACTGCCCGGATGCGTTGAGATACAGCCCGCCAACACACACGCAATCCTCTGAAGTCTCGGATGCAACCGTGGTGGTCACAGTGTCCGATGGGCATTTCGTACAGAGAACGTTGCCAACCGTGCTCTTGAAGTAATTGAAATCGCAAGGGGCACAGTAGCTGTCCTTGGGTGTATACCCGACATCGCAGGAGCAGGAAGACTTGGAGGTGCTGCTCGATGGGCCGACGGAGTGATCGCCGCAGCTGAAGCACTGCCCAGCCCCGTAGGCGCTCTTGAATGTGTTGTTGGTACAGGCGGTGCAGTCAAATCCGTTCACGCCGGTGTATCCCGGCATGCACTCACAGTCGTACCGGCTCTCGCTAGACGACGGTGAATAGGAATGCACAGGGCACTGATCACATGTGGCGTTTCCAGTGACGTTCTTGTAGGTGCTCTCGGCACAGGCAGAACAGTTGCCCCCGTCCGGCCCCGTGTATCCCATGTTGCAGGCACAAGAGAGAGACGACGGGGAGCCCTCGATCCCGTTGGTGGTAGAGTGCAGCGGGCAGCCCAGGCAGAGGTTGGATTGCGAGAAGGGGCGGAAGCTGTCGGCGGCACAGGCAAGGCAGGACGAGCTCGACGCATCGCTGAATCCAGCCGGGCAGGTGCAGAACTCTGTCACGACACCATTCTGCACGGTGCGCCGGAAACCAACACAGGCATCGCAGGTCTTGGTGGCATTGTTGAAGTCATAGTTGGGTGGGCAAACCACACACTGCCAACCGAATTGCTCGTACCCATCCTGGCAGATGCAGTCATTGATGCTCGTGCTTGCAGGTCGGGAAGTTGCCTTGTCGAAGCATGCCAGACAGTTCCCGCTCCCAGTGAAATTCTTGTACTTGCCCTCGGGGCAGGCCTTGCAGATGCCATCGAGGTAGTACCCAACATCACACACACAATCGGTTGAGCTTACGGAGCCCTCCTGTATCGTGCTCGTTGTATCCCCACAGGGTGTGCAGGGCAAATCACCGGTGAAGTCCTTGAACTTTCCTACAGGGCACATGTTGCAAGTGCCAAGCTCGTTGCCATATCCCACATCGCAAACACAATCGGATATGGCATTGCTCTTGACGGGGGCGTAATACCCCAGCCCGCAAGGTTGGCAGGTGAGGTAGGTGATCTTGTAGGTGCTCTGGTTGCAAGGCTGGCAAGGGCCCCCGGGCTGCCCCACCATTCCGTCAACACACATGCAATCCAGCTCTGTCTTGGATCCGTAGTAGTAGGAAGTTGTGTCCGCGGGGCAGCTGGTGCAAGCCTGATTGCCATCACTGGGTTTGAACTTCCCCGGGCTGCAGGCCTGGCACTTGCCATCTGCGCTCCCCTCGAAGCCAGCCTCACAGAAGCAATCAAAGGCGGACACGGAGGCAAAAGGCGAGCTTGCGCCGCCATAGCACTCTTTGCAGGCGGCAGATCCCTGCGAGTCCTTGTACTTCCCCTCTTGGCAGGCGACGCAATCCGAGCCGTCCGCCCCTGTGTATCCCAGCCGGCATTTGCAATCCGTCTTGGCAGAGCTGGCAATCGCGGAGGTAGACTTGGTTGGGCAGGGGAGGCAGACCCCGTTGCTCTCGTACTGGCCCGCAAGGCATGCGACACAGGTCTGCCCTATGCGGACGTATCCGGCATTACAGATGCAGTCCTCGATGCTGTTGCTGGCCGGGAGAGAGGCCGAATGCTCCGGGCAGGAGGCACAGGAGGTGCTCGTCAGCCTGTACTGGTTGCCCTTGCAGGGCGTGCATTCATGGCTTGCATTTACAATGTATCCCGCAAAGCACAGGCAGCTTTCGATGCTGTTGGATGCATAAGGGGAGCTGGAGAACATCGGGCAGTCGGTGCAGACCGTGGCGGAGGACTTGAACTTTGCAATGCCACACGCGGTGCATTGTGTCTCTCCGGTGCCGATGAACCCATCGTTGCAGACACACTGAGAGATGGCGGTGCTGGCAACCGGGGAGTTGGAATCCTTGGGGCAGTCCTGGCAGGACGAGTCACCCGAGGCACGCAGATACTTCCCTGCCAGGCACATATTGCAGTCCAGCCCTGCACCACCCGAGTATCCAGCGGGGCAGATGCAATCCGTGACCGAGGTTGCAAGGCCGACCGAGTAGCTGCCATTCCCGCAAGCCCTGCAAACCTGCCCTAACACGTTGGAAGTGGCAGAGAGGCCCGAATACAGGAAAAGATCAGAGGCCGTGTAGGCAGAGCCAAAGGTACTCGAGGTGCTGTCGGCCCACAGGAAATCCTTGAGCGGCAAGCCATCCGAGGTCTTTCCCGCCGCGAGCCATTGCCGATTGCTCCAAACCTCCACCTTCCCGGGTGTTACGGTGACGTGAATGATCATCTCCCACTGCCCCCTAGGCAAAGAGGCCAACGGGACATCGGCGTAGGCGAGCCCGGGGTATGCATTCCCAGAGACGACACTCACGCTGCCGTCCCCCGCACGGACCCGAAAGACGGGGGAGGAAGACCAAACAACCCCTACCCAGAGCTGCTGCGATGTGGAGCCTATCTGCAATACCTGGAAGCCCGCGTTGATGCTAGCGGGGATAGCCACCGTGAGGAGAACGACGGCATCCAGAGTCCGGATAGCGTACAGAAGCGAGGAGACGGAATCCCCCGACTTGAACCTGGCGATGCTGCTGACATCTCCGATTGCCATCAGAGCCTCCCCCGAATGATACGAGCCCGCGGGGCAGGCAGAGCAGCCGACCCCCTCCAGTCCCGAGTAGCCAGCGTTGCAATAGCAGGATTCCGCATAGAGCATACCAGTCTTTGCCGTGGTCTGAAACAACGGGCAGGGAGTGCAGGCCTGGTCGCCAATTACCCCCTTGTACTTGCCATGAGGGCACGCTACGCACGAGTCCTGCAGCCTGTAATGTCCCATCTTGCAGACACAATCCGATACGGACGTCGAGCCGCGGCTCACAGTCACAGAGTCCGGAGGGCATGGCTTGCAGGCGGTGGAGAAGTTGACATCCTTGTAGGTGTTGAAGTCGCAGGGGGTGCAGACCGCCCCGTTGTTCCCCGTGTATCCCACGGGGCAGAAGCACTTGAGCGAGTCCGGGTTGGCGGGGAGGGAAATGGAATTCGCCGGGCAATTGACACAGGGAGAGCTGCCCAGCGTGTTCTTGTAGGAACCGGCCTGGCAGGCAGTGCAATCTCCATTCTTTAGAGTAAAGCCGCGGAAGCAAATGCAGTCCTCGATCCTTGCGCTGCCCTGTATGCTGGTAGAGAACATCGGACACTTCTGGCAGATGCTCGCGTTGTACTGATCGTTGTAGTAGTTCTCATTGCAGAGCGCGCACAGTGCAGGGCCGACGGTGTAAAACCCTGGCATGCAAACACAGGACTCCCTCGCGGTTGTGCCCTCCTGCCAGGTCGTGGTGGATAGCGGGCAGGCGGAGCACTGCGAATCACCCTTCTTGGCCTTCCAGGTTCCTACACGGCATGGCTTGCAATAACCCTCCGCGTCCCTCGTGTACCCGGGAGCGCATACGCAGTGGAATCTTGTGACCGAGGCCAATGGTCCCTCGTTGCCTTCGGCGCAGGTTTCGCATGCCTGAGAACCAACGCTCTCCTTGTAGGTCCCCGGGAGGCAGGCGGTGCATCCAACAGCGGCATTCCCAGTGTAACCCCGGTTGCAAAGACAGGCATCGGGGGAGGACGAGCTCGAGTTCGAGACAGAGTTGCTTGGGCAGGCATGGCAGTACGTGCTACCTGCCGTGGAGTAGAAGTTGCCCTGGCACTGCAAGCAGGAGGTCGAGGCATTCACAGGCGAATAGCTGCCACCGGGGCAGATCTCACAATCGAAACTCCCCGGATCTGCCTTGGCGAACCCCGCCCGGCATGCAACACACGGAGAGCCCTGGAACCCCGGATTGCAGACGCAAAAATCGCCCTTGCCTGCGGTGATTCCATTCACGCAGTCCCAGCAGGATTCATCCCCGATCCAATCCTTATACTTGCCATTCTCACATCTCAGGCAGTACCCCGAAATGGACGCAAAACCGGCATTGCACTTGCATGCAGCGTACGAGTGCTGCCCAGCGAGCAGCGTTGTAGAGTCCGCGGCGCAGGCAGTGCAAGACCCACTGCCGATGATACCCTTGTATTTACCCACCGGGCAAGCCGTGCAAGACGTCCCCTCTTGCCCAACACCGCAAGTCTGATAGGTTGGGTCACTTGTGCAGGAGGTGGCGCCTGCCGACGAGTACTTCCCCCAGGGACAACGCATACAGAGCGCCAGGCTGACGTTCAGATACTGCATCGCGGCGCACTTGCAATCGGTGAGTCTGACGCTCCCTGAGTCCGCGGTGGACCCATCGGGACAGGGCAGGCAGGCGGCCTCGGAGGAGTTCCTCGTTGGCTTGTACGAGTTGATCGGGCAGGGATTGCACACCCCGCTAGAGGTTGCATAGTGCCCTGTATCTGCGCCGTAGGCACAGCTGCAGGACGAAGAGTCGACCTGCGAGCCGAGCTTGTAATTCCCCGACGGGCAAGGTGTGCACTTGACAGACGCCCGCATTGTGAAGGAGGCCGGTTGCAACCCCCCCATCCACGAATCGATCCTGACACACCCGATAGACTTGTAGAATGAATCCTGATAGCCAAACCCAACGTCCGCCGGGGTAATCACCTTCTGCAGAGTGGAGCCGAGGCAGTCCGACCCCGTTGACGTTGAGACGGAGATGCTGTCCGAGCTGTCTAAACCGAGATCTACGTCAAAGACACTCAGAGTGAACATGTCCGTGTTCCAGCGCACAAGCACGGAGCACAACCCGTTGTCGAAGATGACGACAGATGATGCAACAGAGATGCCCCGGAGAGGACGCCTTGCGCACACCCCCTGGAACTCCACACTGACGTACGCCACCCCGTTCAGGCCGTGGATGGTGTTCGCCGGGCACCCACACCCCGCGGACCCTTGCAGAGCCACGAAACCATTCGGGCATGAACGACAGCTGATGCCGTCCTCGCTGTAGGTTCCGGGGAAGCAATCCCTACAGACCCGGTCCAGCCCGGAGTACTGAAGCCCGGTGCAGAAGCAGTCGCCCTCGCTCTGCGCATAGGAGACGCTGGTCTTGCCCAAAGGGCAGGCGATACAGGAGCCCGCGTAGGAGTATTGGCCGGCATTGCAGAGCGTGCAAACGGTGCTCGATGCGGTGATCACTCCCGAGAACCCCGGCAGGCAGGAGCAAGCGTCGATACCAACGCTGCCAGCGACGCTGGTCGTGTTGGGAGGGCACGGGATGCAGTCGGGCACGCTTCCCACGGTAGTCCCCTTGTAGCTGCCGGCGGGACAATTCACACACACACCAGTGCTGACAAACACCGTCGTCCCAGTGCAGGAGAGATAGTCACATGCGGGCTTCCCGGTGACACAGGTGAGGCAGGCCGTATTGCCAAGGCCCTCGGAATACGTGCCACCGGCGCAGGCGGAACATGTTGTCCCAGTGCCGTAGAAGTTTGGCAGGCATTGGCAACTCGAGAGGGATCCGCGCGACGTCCCCGTGACGCCGGTCTTGGCCGGGCAGTTGGTGCAGACACTCGCGGACACTGCCGCTACGGCCGTCGAGTAAGTGTTGATCGGGCAGAGGACACAGTTGTCATTCGAGACCGTCGCCTTGTAGGTGCCGGCAACGCAAGCCGTGCACACAGTCCCCGTTCCGCTGTATCCCGCATTGCAAACGCAGCTCGCAGACGTCCGCAGCACCCCCGGCAGGGAGGCAGAGTTCGCAGAGCAAGAGGTGCAGGCCGAGGCCCCGAGGGAATTACTGAAGGTCCCGGTGCCGCATTCCGTGCAAGGCGCCGAGCCCGACGACCCGAAATAGCCAATTGCACACTTGCATAGGGATAGCGAACCCGCCCCGTCCGCTGAGGTATTGGAATTGGAAGGGCAGGGGAGGCAATTAGAGGGGTCATCCGAGGCTGCAACTGTTGAATACTTACCGACGTGGCAGAGGGAGCAGGAGGTCTGCGATGCGAGCTCCTTGTAGGAGCCGGCGGCACAGGCAACGCAGGCGGTGCCAGCGGCGTTGAGGACGTATCCAGCATTGCAGAGGCATTGCGCATCGCTTGTAGATCCTCTCTCAACCGTGTAAGCACCAGAGGGGCAGGATGTGCATGATGTGACGTATCCTGTGATTGCAGAGAATGTGCCAATGGGACAGGAGGTGATGCTTCCTCCTGTGCAGAAGTAGCCAGGGATGCATTGAAGGCATTGGAAGCCTGAGCTCACCGTCTGAAGGTATGTTCCCTCCTTGCACTTGCAATCAGCGAGCGTTTGCGATCCCTGCTTACCATTGCTCGAATCAACAGGACATGATCTGCATGCTGCTCCTCCCACCGTGTCGCTGTATGTATCCTGTGCGCAGACAGTGCAATCGAAAGCATTCGTTCCGCTTTGATAAAATCCTGGCTTACACGAGCATCCACTCTTGTCTGCGATCCCAGAGACCATCAATGTGTTTGCAGGACAATCAACACATGTTGCGCTTGTTGTGCAATCAGACACGTATTGCGATGCACCGCAATTCTTGACAGTGCGCAGGTTTGCACAAGGATAGCACTGGCCAGCCTGGTTCCCACCGCATCCTACCGAGTACTGACCGGCAGAGCAGACTGCCGCGCATGAGAAGCAAGAATAAGTGTAGCTCACATAAGGAGCATCGGCAGGTATGTAATTGGTTGCATACTTGCAATCTGCACTCCGATAGTATTGACCAACAGGACAGGAGCAAGGAGTGCATGTGCCATTGTTCCAGTTTCCACAGCCCAAAGGGAAGCTGTTGTCAGGACAACGATCCTTGCAAGGAAGGCAGCCCGATCCCTCCTTGATGCAATTGATGTAGGATCCAGCGGGACATGAAGTGGGACAAGGCGAAAAGCAGACAGTGTCCTTTGCCGACGTGCATGCTTGCGAAACGAACGAAGGGAACTGACAAGTGGAGCAAGGCAGGCAGGTGTCTGGCACAGCGCCCCCCGTCGAGGAAGCAGCGTAATATCCACTATTGCATTCACAGACCAACGCATTCACCCATTCAGAAGCCCAAACACTCCCTGTGCAATCTGTGTAAATGAATGTCTGATACTGTCTTTTCAGGAAGGAGTTAGCAATACAGCCCACTGCTGCCGAGGCAGAAAAGACCGTGACATAGCCATCTTGGTATTGAACCGGACAGGCAGCATGTGCCGTTGGGAGTAGAAGCAGTAAGATCAACACCCAACTCCACTCGCATTGCATATCCTCCCATACCTATTGCATGATACCTTATATGGTCACTCGTTGTCTCACACCCAAAAAAGACAAGAGTTTTCAAGCTGGTTTTTATTCAAGTTTGTTAACAAAGCATCTCTCAATCGATCAACAACGAGAGCTGTGCAATCGCAACCATCCCCCAGTGGTGAGCGGGTGTCGAGGTGGTATGCATCCCCCAGTGGTGAGCGGGTGTCGGGGTGGTATGCATCCCCCAGTGGTGGGCGGGCGTCGGGGTGGTATGCATCCCCCAGTGGTGGGCGGGTGTGGGGGTGGAATGCATCCCCCAGTGGTGGGCGGGTGTGGGGGTGGAATGCATCCCCCAGTGGTGAGCGGACGACGGGATGCCCGCCGGTGAGTATCGGGACGGTTGCATCATGGGCTGGTTTCCTCGGTCGTCGTATGGCGTGCCACCGTAGTTGTCATAACCGTAATCCCCTTCTGGGTAATAGCCTTGATTGGCGTTGTTCACGTCGTGGCGTAGCCTGTGTGCTTGCGCCAGTTGATTTTGTTTCCTTACGTGCTCCATAAACTGATCGTGATCCATGCGACGGACTCCGTGTGGGTCGTTGTGGTAGATGTCACTGGCCTTGCGTACAACCGCTTTCCCTGCTCCTTTCACCCCGTTCCATGCGGAACTGCCGGCATTCTTCAACCTGTCCGTCCATGGGCCCTGTAGGCTGGGGATGTATTCGGCCGTGGATGGGTTTGCGGCGATGTACTGCTTCATTCCCTGCCACACCGCGTCTTTCAGATCGGTGTTGATCTGGTCCAGCGTGTCTGGGTTGCGCATGATGGACAGTTTGGCATCGGTTAGGGTCGGGCGACCGGTGGGCCTGTAGGCACTGCCGAATGACATCCTGTTCGACGGAGAAGGGTTCCATTGGCTGATCTTGGTTGCGATCTGCTCGCCAAGACATTCAAGGACGTCCGGGTTGCTGGCGATGAATTGCTTCACATCCTGCCACACCTGACCCCCAAGCGCCTCGTCGACAATGTCGAGCTGATCGGGGTCGCGCATGATGGTTTCTATGATGGTCGAGGGCTGCTGTGCGTCGGGGTTCATGCTACCTCTCTTGACGGGAATGCGCGCCATCATTCTTATATCCTACGTGCATGTTTGGAAAATCGGGTTTATTACAGGGAACGCGTCTCACAGGTTGGGGTACGCGAGCACATCCTTCCGGAAGAACTCGGTGACGACGAGGGTGATGATGAGGGTGAGGACGAGGAAGTTAAGGACGAACTGCTTGATGGCCGTCACGGTGTGCATAGTAAGCCCCACGCGGTCGTTGATGATATCTGGCAGCATGTATATGGCAAAAAGCGCGAAGATGAAGTAGAACCAGTTGTAGAATAGGATGTAGCTGTACGGGGTGATGCTCTCCGAGGGCACGGCTGTGAACACGAGCGCGATGAGGACGAAGATCTGCGCATAGCTGATGATATCCTTGTAGCCCTGGTAGTACTCGTACACGCTGCTCGTCTCGAGCTTGAGGTCGTCGGAGAGGCGCAGGGAGCGGGTCCAATGGGAGGTCATCCAGTCTCCCGAGGTGCTGATCACCGTGTAGAACATGACAAGCGTGGAGTAGTAGAAGATGATGCCGTTCTCGGTCCACTGGCGGGTGAGGACGATGCCGATCGCCAGCATCACCATCGCCGGGATGAGGAGGATGTCCATCCAGAGGTGCTCGAGCTGTGCCTGTGCGTTGAGCGTGTCGGAGATCCGGTACCGCATCTCGTCATTGGCGTATCTGTAAACGATCTTCATATAATCGTTGTATCGGTCGTGCTCCGCCTCCACGATGGTGGACAGCGCGAGCTTCACGTTGCGGTTTCGAACGTAGCTCACGATGTAGGGTCCAAAGAAGATGGCAAGGATCAGCGAGATGACGATGATGAAGGTGATGGGGAAGCCGAGGTTGAAGCTGCTCAGGCCCATCTCGCAGGAGTTGCACTTGAGGAGGAAGGAAAGGGTGAATGCCAAGGTAGAGCCGAAGATGAAGAATGTGAAGAGGACCAACCGGGTGAACATCTTCCAGATCGAATCATCCGCGATAGTCGATTGCGTACCGTTGGATCCCATGCTAGCCATCCCCTCCGCGACCATCCTCCGGACTGTGTTCTCGCCGCTGTCGTGCAGGAAGTTGGACATGACGATGGAGAGGGTGGAGATCATCATGAATGCATAGAAGTAGTACAGGGGGCGATACGTAGCATGCAGCGGCTCGTAGCTGTAGGGCATGTCACCCTCGTAGACGCAGAACTCCAGCATGCTCTTCACATCATCCTTTGTGGGCGTCGTGGTCTGTGTGGGAGACCAGGTGGTACCCATGGCGTGGCCCACCTGCGCGATGCAGTTGCACCCTCCCGGCATCCACACGGGGTTCGAGGCAGAGACCTGCGCGAATGTGTAGGGGTCGGTCTGCAGCGGAACGTTGTTCGTGGTGATGTACTGGTCGCAAGAGGACCATGCCCACAGGGTCTGTACGTTCTGCATGGGTGTCGTGTTGTTCTTCCAGGCCTGGAGTGTCGAGTCCAGCTTATCCATGTTATTCCAGGGGTGGATGACGTACGTCACGATGCTGGTGGGAAACTTGGTGCTGGCGAGGTCCTTGCTGAGCGACATGGCGGCGAGAACGACGGTGAGCACGTAAAAGACCATAGCGATGATGGTGTTGACATACTTGAGGTCGGACTGGAACTGGAAGATGCTATGTGACTCCATCAACTTGATGCGGTCATCTTCCGTCTCGTCCTCCTTCTTCCCGTAGATTCTGTTCCACTTGTTGTTGTCATAGGTGTGGGGCACGAAGGGGTCGCCGAGGTTACTTCCTCTCTGACTATGGTTAGGGTACATGGGTTTCTTCACCACCACCATGCCGATGCCCTTTTCCCATATGCAGGGTTACCCTTCTTTAATACGATGCAACAATGAAGATTGACGTGGGCGATAAAGCGGGTGGGCTTGCGCCCTGATTTATTCTCGATAAAGTTCAAGGCAGCATGGCACGCCTTGAGGGTGGGCGGGTGTGTCTCTCACGATGCTAACCGAGGCCTGCTGACTCCCCATCCCGCGGCCCCTGACTTGATGCGCTTGTAGCCGTAGGTCTTGGAGTACGGGTCCGGGTAGAGCGAATCCGCGTTCCAGTAGAGCAGTGTCCAGAGGGCGTTGCTAGAGTGGCTACGGAGGTAGTTGACGTCCGGGAGCTTCGCCAGCGTCCCTGGGGCCATGCTCCCGCACTCCTTGATCGAGCGCATGATCCTCTCTTCCTCCCTCCTCCGGTCGGGCGTGTCCGCCACCGCGCTCAGGGCGGACTGGTTCACCCGCAGGCTGATCCTCTTCTCGTACACCATGGCGTACAGCACGGCGGAGGCCAGGGAGATGATCGCCACGTCCTGGTCGTGGCTCTCCTCCTTGCCATCCACGAGGGATAGGATCGGGACGACGATGTCCCTGTGGCTCCATACCCTCGCCGGCCCCACCGTGGGCAGTCCCTGCGTATAGTCGCACCCCGTGAGGATGGTGAAGAGCGCCAGCACCGAGCACGCGTTGGCCCTCTCCCCGGTCAGTGGGCCTATATCCTTGCAGAGCTCCAGCGCCAGCCGGTTGATGTGGACGTACTCGTACTCGTGCTTCGCCGGCCTTGGCGCTGTGTCGGCCTTTGTCCTCACCTTGATCCGATACACCGCAACCTGCGGGACGGCCCTCCCCGCGCGGCATAGCTGCTCGAGGTGGACCATCGACATGGGGACGTAATCACCGTCGATGGCGTCGATGATCATGTTGCCGAGATGGCTGTAGGAGGTGAACTTGACGTCACTCTCCCCCTTCAGACCGGTGTGATCGATGGAGAAGGGCCTGAAGGTCCCGTTCGGGAGGTGCTCGACCGGTGCCTCGACCCCCCTGTTTCTCGACGGATCCTGCCGGCCGGGCCCGTCAGTAGACCGACTGCAGCCTTCAGCCCCGCCTCAGACCCCCTGGAGGCCCGCCAGGAGGCTAAGTGTCCGGAGATTGGCCGGGGGCCTGATCTCTCCGGGCGGCCGTGACCGGTCAGCGGACCGTGTCAGCAGGCCCGTGACATGTCAGCCGGCTGACAGGGGCCGTGACCCGGCTGACAGGCTCACCTGACCGGTCACGTGACACATCACGTGACCGAGACAAGACTTTTTTATATCGCAGATCCAAAAACCCATAGGACATTTCTCCCAGGGGGAAGAAAACCTCCCTTGACCCCCCTGTTTCTCGACGGATCCTGCCGGCCGGGCCCGTCAGTAGACCGACTGCAGCCTTCAGCCCCGCCTCAGACCCCCTGGAGGCCCGCCAGGAGGCTAAGTGTCCGGAGATTGGCCGGGGGCCTGATCTCTCCGGGCGGCCGTGACCGGTCAGCGGACCGTGTCAGCAGGCCCGTGACATGTCAGCCGGCTGACAGGGGCCGTGACCCGGCTGACAGGCTCACCTGACCGGTCACGTGACACATCACGTGACCGAGACAAGACTTTTTTATATCGCAGATCCAAAAACCCATAGGACATTTCTCCCAGGGGGAAGAAAACCTCCCTTGACCCCCCTGTTTCTCGACGGATCCTGCCGGCCGGGCCCGTCAGTAGACCGACTGCAGCCTTCAGCCCCGCCTCAGACCCCCTGGAGGCCCGCCAGGAGGCTAAGTGTCCGGAGATTGGCCGGGGGCCTGATCTCTCCGGGCGGCCGTGACCGGTCAGCGGACCGTGTCAGCAGGCCCGTGACATGTCAGCCGGCTGACAGGGGCCGTGACCCGGCTGACAGGCTCACCTGACCGGTCACGTGACACATCACGTGACCGAGACAAGACTTTTTTATATCGCAGATCCAAAAACCCATAGGACATTTCTCCCAGGGGGAAGAAAACCTCCCTTGACCCCCCTGTTTCTCGACGGATCCTGCCGGCCGGGCCCGTCAGTAGACCGACTGCAGCCTTCAGCCCCGCCTCAGACCCCCTGGAGGCCCGCCAGGAGGCTAAGTGTCCGGAGATTGGCCGGGGGCCTGATCTCTCCGGGCGGCCGTGACCGGTCAGCGGACCGTGTCAGCAGGCCCGTGACATGTCAGCCGGCTGACAGGGGCCGTGACCCGGCTGACAGGCTCACCTGACCGGTCACGTGACACATCACGTGACCGAGACAAGACTTTTTTATATCGCAGATCCAAAAACAAAGTCGCTTCAGTATCAGGGGGAAGAAAACCTCCCTTGACCCCCCTGTTTCTCGACGGATCCTGCCGGCCGGGCCCGTCAGTAGACCGACTGCAGCCTTCAGCCCCGCCTCAGACCCCCTGGAGGCCCGCCAGGAGGCTAAGTGTCCGGAGATTGGCCGGGGGCCTGATCTCTCCGGGCGGCCGTGACCGGTCAGCGGACCGTGTCAGCAGGCCCGTGACATGTCAGCCGGCTGACAGGGGCCGTGACCCGGCTGACAGGCTCACCTGACCGGTCACGTGACACATCACGTGACCGAGACAAGACTTTTTTATATCGCAGATCCAAAAACCCATAGGACATTTCTCCCAGGGGGAAGAAAACCTCCCTTGACCCCCCTGTTTCTCGACGGATCCTGCCGGCCGGGCCGGTCAGTAGACCGACTGCAGCCTTCAGCCCCGCCTCAGACCCCCTGGAGGCCCGCCAGGAGGCTAAGTGTCCGGAGATTGGCCGGGGGCCTGATCTCTCCGGGCGGCCGTGACCGGTCAGCGGACCGTGTCAGCAGGCCCGTGACATGTCAGCCGGCTGACAGGGGCCGTGACCCGGCTGACAGGCTCACCTGACCGGTCACGTGACACATCACGTGACCGAGACAAGACTTTTTTATATCGCAGATCCCATAACCCATAGGACATTTCTCCCAGGGGGAAGAAAACCTCCCTTGACCCACCTGTTTCTCGACGGATCCTGCCGGCCGGGCCCGTCAGTAGACCGACTGCAGCCTTCAGCCCCGCCTCAGACCCCCTGGAGGCCCGCCAGGAGGCTAAGTGTCCGGAGATTGGCCGGGGGCCTGATCTCTCCGGGCGGCCGTGACCGGTCAGCGGACCGTGTCAGCAGGCCCGTGACATGTCAGCCGGCTGACAGGGGCCGTGACCCGGCTGACAGGCTCACCTGACCGGTCACGTGACACATCACGTGACCGAGACAAGACTTTTTTATATCGCAGATCCAAAAACCCATAGGACATTTCTCCCAGGGGGAAGAAAACCTCCCTTGACCCCCCTGTTTCTCGACGGATCCTGCCGGCCGGGCCCGTCAGAGACCGACTGCAGCCTTCAGCCCCGCCTCAGACCCCCTGGAGGCCCGCCAGGAGGCTAAGTGTCCGGAGATTGGCCGGGGGCCTGATCTCTCCGGGCGGCCGTGACCCGGTCAGCGGACCGTGTCAGCAGGCCGTGACATGTCAGCCGGCTGACAGGGGGCCGTGACCCGGCTGACAGGCTCACCTGACCGGTCACGTGACACATCACGTGACCGAGACAAGACATTTTTTATATCGCAGATCCAAAAACCCATAGGACATTT